TATATAAAAACTTCCAGGAAGGTTCAAGTTCTTACTAATGATTGAATGCTTATTATGGGATATGGTTGCTTTGGTAACAGATGGACTCAAAAATGAGAGATAGTAAAAAATGCAGAAACTCTAGAAGAGGACTTACCCATGACACAGGGGGATACGTTACAACTCTCAGTTGGCCTTGGGCGAGGGCCCCAGCCTGTGGCCAAGGCACCACGCAAGCAGTGCTGTGGGTGAGAACACTGGCTCTGGGGCCAGACGGCCTGGGTTCGAATCCTGTCTCCACTCTACCTGCTGTGTGACTTACCCTCTCTGTGCCTCAGTTGCCTCATTTACAAAATGAGAGTCCTTGTGGCACCTACGTCGCTGGCTGCTGTGAGGAGTACACAGAACGAACCCTGGTGCGTACCAAGTGCTCTATAGACGCCAGGGGGTAAAATGAGGCGGCAAGCAGGCCGGTCTCCCCCCAGAGCCGGGGCAGGCGCGCACCTGTCTCCTTGCGCAGGCTCTCCTCCAGCGTGGACAGCTTCACGTCGTACGAGTTGCGCATGGCAGTGATGTCCTCCTCCAGCCGGGCCCTGGACTCCTGCTCCACCTTATAGTCGGCCCGCAGCTGGGCCAGGCGCTCCTCGTACTCCTGGGGGGCGGAGCACAGGAGGGCAAGCGCTTTATCACCATTTCAAAACACAGCTTTCAGTATGCCCCCCCGCCCCCAGTGATCCAGAAAATACAAATAAGCCAAAAGAACTGAATTAAAATTACCCACCCAGCCCTAACGGGTTTGGCTCAGTGGATAGAGCGTCGGCCTGCGGACTGAAGGGTCCCAGGTTCGATTCCCGTCAAGGGCATGTACCTTGGTTGCAGGCACATCCCCAGTAGGGGGTGTGCAGGAGGCAGCTGATCGAAGTTTCTCTCTCATCGATGTTTCTAACTCTCTATCCCTCTCCCTTCCTCTCTGTAAAAAATCAATAAAATATATTTTAAAATAAATAAATAAAATAAAATAAAATAAAATAAAATAAAATTACCCACCCAACACTGGAATGGCTGGTGAAGACCCTACTAGAGCTTTTCCCTGTGCATGTTGAACAGGTGAATAATGCATGTGTGTGTGTGTCGTCTATTTTTCCCACACGGCAATACATCAGGAACACCTCTTCGCATCAACAGATAGGTTTTAACCAAAGGGTCCTCAACCCAGTCCTCCCCCTCCCCTCCCTCCAGCCCTCCGCACCCCGCCCACCTCCTGTCTCACACTTCACAGAGAACTCTGAAGCCTCTGGCCATGAACGTCCTCACCTTCCCAGCCCCGCACCTTCCATCCACCTGCAGGTCCGCCCGCCCCAAAGCTCTGCGTCCTCTCTCGTGACAGTGGACGAACCACCTGACACTGAGCCGCCCACCGGGGACTTCACTCAACTCAATCCCCATCTCCCTCCTACATCACGGACTTCTCCCTCCTACATCACGGACCATTCCCAGCCGTTTACAAAACCTGCTCTCTTCCTTCCAATATTAAAAGCAATAAAACTCTTCCTGGATCCCATGTGCGCCTCCAGCTACAGTGCCCGTGCCCAGAAGGTGCTCAGAAAACCGTGATTCAATGGGGGCCAAGTGCAAACCCCGACAATGAGACCCCTGCAATAGGGAAGCTGCCACTGTACCCATTCTAGAGATAGAAACAGGCTCGAGAGCTTCAGCAACCTGCCCAAGGTCACAGAGCCCGTGAGAACTGGACCTGCAGACTGGAAAAGCTGCATGGACCCTAGGAATCTTCTAGTTCAAATCCTGCCCCATAAGCCTAGGAGACTGAGGCCCACAGTCACACCTCCAGCTCACGGCTGAGTCATCCCCTGGCCCGGCACCCTCTCCACGGCACGTGGGGGCCACCTCCCTAATCCCGGGCGCCCTGACTGGTTCTGGAATGGGAGGGCGAGAGGACAGACCCTCCCAGTGTGGCTCACAGAAGAAACTCTAGGGTCAGGAAACAGACTTGGTGGTGGCGGCCTCTGGGGCAGCCTCCACTGGGCTGCCCCCTGGGGCGGAGGCAGGCACCCCCATTCCCCAGGTCGAGGGACGCTGGAACCTGCACAGCGTTTGTTCTCCCTGGTGACCACTAGGGGGCGGTGCCTTCCCACCCAATGGGTCTTCCTTGGGAAGGAAGTTTCCATCCCACCCCCTGACCAACCCTTCCCACCCCCACTGTTTTGTGACCAATGGCCACCTGTTGCTGTGGTTCCACACCCACTCTGAGCCCCCAAAGTGTGACCTCTCACTCTGTGGGCCTGGGCTGGGCATTGCTAAAGGCAGCCTCCTCACCCTGCCCCCGGAGCTCCCAGCAGGGAAAAGGCAGACAGAGCCGCTGAGCTCCCAAACCTTCACGGGGCCAGAACGGTGTCCAGCTGAGCCTCTCCCTGAACGGTAACGGCCTCTGCCTGCCAGGGGCAGCTCTTGGGGACCCTCAGTCCATTTTCCCAGCCTCTATTCCACAGGACGGAGGCCCCAGGCCTTACCTGGTCTGCCCCCCGAGGCTGGGCCCCGGGCCCCCACAGCCTGACCAGGCTCCCAGGGCCTTAGGGCTGGTCCCACCTGAGGTCATAGTTGAGTGGCAGAGGCCCAGCAACAGACACGTCCAGGCCCCAGGCCCCGGGCCCTGCAGCTGTTCCTGCTGGCATTGGGCTCTCCACCAAGAAAAAGCCAGGGCCCTAAAGGACTGCCAAGTGCCAAACCCCACCACATTCGGGGCCTTTAGCAGGAACCTCCGGAAGCTAACAGAGCCTGGAGTTGGGGGCCGGGCCATGTTACGTGCCCCCCGGCCCCCAACCCCAGAGATCAGCTCCGTATTTGCAAATCAGGGTGTTACCTGCCCTGCCGTTCCCGGGATCCTAGGAGTCCACATGTGGGAGGAGGACCCAAGTGACAGCTTTTTCTGGGAGGCTAACACCTCACTTATCCACCAGTCAAATGGGCACCTGGGGGCTCCCCACCGCCCACCACAGCTGCCCTGCTCTCAGCCCAGCCTTCTTGGCACCTGCTGTGGGGAACAACTCCTTCCATCTGACCTCTGCACCTCCGCACAGGCCACTCCCACTACCAGGAAGGCCTTCTCGGCTTCCTCCAGCCCACAGCCCCCCATGCCTGCTGTGAGGAGACACCCCCACACCCCTTCCTGTTCTCCCACTCATGTGGGATGGACTGGACTCTGGAGTCTGGAACCCGAGTTCAAATCCCAGCTCCGACTCTCCTTAGCTGTGTGACCTTGGGCATATCATGGCCCCAGGATCTCTGCCCGCTGTGTGACCCCGAAAGGGAGACTGTCGTGCCAACCCCACGGAGATGGGGGTGAAAGCACATCGTTCTGGAGGTGATCTCCTGCCGGCCCCACCTGCCCGCCCACTCTCCCACCTGCTCCGGGTCTCACCTCCCGGATCAGCTGCTTCTCAGCCTCCGTGTCATGCTGGATCGCAGGCGGGGACCATGGCTTCTCCTCAGTCTGGACAGGTTTTGGGAGCACCTGGTTGGACAGCAGGGCTGGGGGGGGGGACAGAAATGAGGGGCTGTGACCGGGGTGCACACCGTTTGCAGGAACTAAGCAGCAATCCGCAAAGACAAACACATGCTCGTTCTAACGGACTTCAGAGTATTGAGCTTATTTGAAGCGCGTCTCTATGTAAAGTGCTAATTTACTCTGTCATTTCAGAAAGATTTCTTGAGCACCGCCTGCTCTAGGCACTGGGGGTGTGGCAGCGAACAGAACAGACGACGCTCACTCACCTCATCCCACATGATGGTCTGCTGGAGCCCTCCCTCCCCAGGAGAGGTACCCAGGAGGTAGAGCTTGGATCCGATTCACCTCTGTGTCCCCAGTGCCCAGCACAGGTCCACACAGAGGGGGGCTCAGAGAACTTTGGATGGGTGGGTGGGTGGGTGGGTGGGTGGAAAGATGGATAAAAGGGTGGATGACAGGATAGAGAGAATGAATGGTGGATGTGTGGGTGGTAGGCTAGAAGGGGTGGGTGGAGAGAATGGATGGGGGAGGGATGGATGGGTAGATGAATGGATGGATAGAGAGGAAGGTGGGTGGGGAGCTGGATGAATGGAGAGATGGACTCAGGCTCCTTTGTGCTCCCTTCCCCAGAGGTTTCTCAGATGAGAAGAAACCTTGGCGTCCTGCAGCTGCAAGAACCTTGCAGACCTGCCAGGTATGATTTCTACCAGCAGATGACAGCCAATGCCTGGGCGCGAGCGCTGCCATCACAAGGTGCCCAGTGGGAGTGGGGTTTGGAGGTGGAGTGAGTCACCCCACTGCTGAGCAGCACAGCATCACGCTGCCGCCTCAGAGACAGCGGGCAGACAGGGGGCAGGGAGCAGGCGACAGAGCCCCCCTCCCAGCTGATGGGACAGGATGGACAACCTGGCCTCTTCCTGGGGCATCAGCGAGCAGACCCCTCCGGCTGTCACTACCCAGGGCTCTCCCTCACTGGTCCAAAGCCAGGTTCCATGAAGCTGAGGGGACATGGCACGTGGCCTCCGTCTCTCCGGCTCAGCTGGAGGCAGGCAGACCAAGGGCCGGAGCCTTTCTCCTGGGTCCCCTGCCCCTTCCTGGCACCTGGTCCGAGCCGCCCACCTGACAGGTTGCTGAGGCCCATCTGCTGGGCCAGGATCGCCTTGAGCTTCTTGATCTCCTCCTGGTACTCGCGCAGCAGGGCGTCCTTGGGGTCCTCGTTGATGTGCGGCTTGTTCTTGATGTTCTTGGCTCGGTTGGCGTAGCGCAGCGTGCTGAGCGTCTCGTCGTAGTTGTTGTCGGCAGGCGACAGGCAGGCCACCATCAGCGTCTTGGTGTTGCCGCCCAGGGAGTCCTGCAGCAGCCGCGTCAGCTTCGAGTCGCGGTAGGGGATGTGCTTGCAGCGCCCGTCCACCAGGGCCGAGATGACGTTGCCCAGCGCGGACAGCGACAGGTTGATCTTGGTGGCCTCCTTGAGCCGCTCCCCGGTGGCCCCCGTCTTGGACTGCCGCTCGCTGCCCGCCAGGTCCACCAGGTTCAGCTTGCCTGCCCGCAGGTGGTCCTTGCCCCGCTCGTCTGCAGACAGACCCCGCAGAGAGGTGAGGGTCTCTGGTGGGGACCCCCCCATTTAATGAGGGCAGTTAGCCATCAGGCACCCCACCCACCGAATGCTCCCCGCCCACCGAGTGCTCCCGCCCACCGAGGGCCTCACTTCAGCCACACAGGAGCCCCATACAGGAGGTGCTCTTACTGTGCCCCTCTTACAGGTGAGGAAACTGAGGCTCAGAAGGGGCATTTAACTTGCCCAAGGCCCACAGCTGCTAAGGGGTGGAGCCCGGATCAGCCCCCAGGGCTGTCTGACTCCAGGAAGCAGGGGCTGGGAGGTAGACTATTCTCTGAGAGCAGCAGACGTCTATGGCTATCACAGCAGCTCCTACAGATAGATGCCTGTGAGGCCAAAGGGGTGTGTGTGTGTGTGTGAGAGAGAGAGAGAGAGAGAGAGAGAGAGAGAGAGAGAGAGAGAGAGAGACTGGGTCACCAGGGAGTTGTATTCTTTTTTTTTTTTTTTAATATATTTTATTGATTTTTTACAGAGAAGAAGGGAGAGGGATAGAGAGTTAGAAACATCGATGAGAGAGATTGATCAGCTGCTTCCTGCACGCCCCCGGAGTGGGGATGTGCCCACAACCAAGATACATGCCCCCGGCCGGAATCGAACCCGGGACCCTTCAGTCCGCAGGCCGACGCTCTATCCACTGAGCCAAACCGGTTCGGCAAGGGAGTTGTATTCTTAAGGCAGAAGCATTGGCTCTGGAGACTCTTGGACCTGTTCCCATCCCACTTGCTGTGTGACCCTGGCAGAGCCAGGCACCTCTCTGATACTCAGTTCTCTCCACAAAATGAGACTGAGCAGAGCTCCCCCTACACTGGCTGCTGGTGGGTGAAGTAAACCGACAGCACGTTTTTCCAGGGTCCCCGCAGGCCTGGCGTGGAGCGCAGCCTCCGAGGACAAGCCGAGTTCCGCAGCGACTGGCGGCTGTGCCAGCGGAACAGACCCCGCCTGCCCTCCGGTCGGCGGCAGGGGCTCGGAGCACAGATGTTGAGGACTCAGACCCGTGGGGGTTCCAGCTTGACTCCGTCCCTCAGTGGCTGTGAAACTTGGGGGAAAAACTTCACTTCCCCTGAGCCTCAGCCTTCCGCTCTGTAAAGTGGGAACCAAAGGCCCTGAGGGTGCTGTGAGGGAGGCCTGCACCAGCAGCACCTGCGGGAGGGCTCGGGGCTGTGCCTGGCACATCGCAAGCGCTCATTAATCGG